TTTTTGTTTTATTACTTGATCCATTATCTCAGTTTAATTCTTGTTTCTCTTTGATTCTATAGGACGGAATAGTGAAAGGTGGGGTAACCGGAGCATTGCGGGATTGCGGGAGATAAGAGAAGAGAAGATTAATTGGATTGTGTTTCAAATGCAGTCGTCCCATTTTAAGTTTTAATTTTTATTTTTATTTTTGAACTCTTTTTTTGGTTGAATAGTGATATTCGAATTTTTTTATTATTTTTTTTATATCTAGTTTATTTTTTTAGTATTATTTTTCTTTCGTTTTGTTTCTAGAACTATTTCTTTTCTTTATTTTAATTTCTTATTCAAATTTTTGTCTAATTAGGTTTATATTTTTCTTTTATTTCAGATATAAGAAAAAGAAAAAAAATCATTTATTTTAATTTATTTTATTTATTGCCACATAATTTTCTTTTGTTTATTTTATTTTTGGTTTAATTTTTAGAATAGCAATTTTCTTGTTAGAATTTATTTTGGTAGTTGTTTTTCTTGTTAGCATAATTATTTCTTTTATTTTCTGCTTGTTATAATTATTTTCTGCCTTATTTAATTTCCTCTTTATTAGTGCTTTAATTGAATAATTAATTGTTAAAGAGGAAATTGTTTAAATTTTCGAATTTCAGTTTAAAATTTGAATTTGAATTTAATTTTTAATTTTAATTTGAATCTGAATTTGAATTTGAATTTGAATTTCAAATTTTGAAATTTAAATTTAGAATTTCGAATTTCACAAAAAGTAAAAATAAAAAATAAACATAATAATAATAAAAATAAAAAATAATTTGAATTTCATGCAACTTTAGTAGTTGATCCTAAATCAATAGCAATCCATCGATAGATTAGAGAGCCGAATAGGACAGCAAGCTAAAGCCAAGAAGAGGAGAGGAGTAGGGCAACTACTGAGTCAACCGGTTGCAAACCCTAAGGACCCTCAGCTTGAAAATACCAAGGCTATTACAACCTTAGGGAGTGGGAGGATTTTAGAGGGCTCGCGTGAGAAAAAGAAAATTGAAGAAGAAGAAAAGGAGCAGGAAGACCCTATGTTGGGGGGAGAAGAAATAGGAAAGGAAAACATAGAAGAAGAGCCCATAATGAACCAACCCGTAGTTCCCTTTCCATCTACACTCACAGTCGGGCCAGTGTGAAAGAACAAAGAGACTCGCAACGAGGAAAGCCGGGAAGTCCATATTAACTTCCCTCTCCTCAACACGATCCAGCATGTCTCAGCCTATGCCAAGTTCTTAAAAGAGCTATGTACTCAAATGATGGACCCACGATCGGCCCCACAAAAAATGATGCTCTTGGCAGATGTTAGAGCAGCTCTCCTAAACCAACTTCTCCGAAAGATGAAAGACCTAGGTGCTCCTCTCATCAGCTGTATCATCTCTGGAACCACCTTTAATCAGACCCTATTGGATCATGGGACCAGTAGAAATCTACTTCCGTCCATTTATGAATGGTTCAGGATCGGTGAGTTAAAACCTACCCAGTAATTATGCAACTCGTTGATCAGTCGGTCAAGTCTCCTTGAGGTGTTATTGAGGACATCATTGTTAAGATAGAGAATTGTTATTTCCCTATAGACTTTGTTGTCCTAGACATGACCCCAATCGAGGAACTAAACCATTTCCCAATAATCTTAAGGTGTCCGTTTCTAGCAATGGCCAATACGAACATCAACTGTAAATCGGGAGAAATGGACATTTCATTTAGGGAGTTAAATGTTTTTAGTGCCTCTAAGTATCCAAATCTAGGGGAAGATGAGGGCAAGATAGATGCAGTTGATTATCTTTTAGATGCCTTGTCTGCCCCTTGGTTAGCCCAGTTTGAGCCCTGTTTGTATGAAGATGAAAGTGAGTCAGAGAATGTACATAGAAGAAGTGTGTGAATGTGTCCAGCTGAAGACATTAAACTTAGCGCTAGTTGGGAGGCAACCCAACGTAGTTTTTAGCATTTCTGCTTCTAGGATTTGAGATCTTTTTCTTTTCTTGATTCGAGACTAGGTGGCAGACCTTGAACCCCTTAAGAAAACCCTATTGATTGTTCCCTTTAGCCCAAGTCCTTTTTGCATCAATCTAGTTATGCTATTAGGGACAATAGCATTTAAGTTGGGTGGTAAGGAAAGAGAGAGAGAAAAATTGAAAAAAAAAAGAGAAGCTAAGCCTTTAGAAATGTAGAATTAAAATTTCACTGAAAAATTTAAAATTTTTTCCATTAAAAAAGACTCCCAAACAAAAAAAGTTAAGGAAACTGATAAAAGAATATTGAATTCTCTAGATATTGGTAACAACTGATAGGAGTCAAAAATTGGTCTTATTTGAATATTGTTGAAACTGTTTAGAAATTGGAAACTACTCCCAAGTTTGCCCCTACCAAGATAAGAAGAGAAAGACGGAGAAATCAGACAAAAATTCTTCAAATTGTTAGAAACAATGAACTGCCCTGAATAATGTTGCAAAAAAAAAAAAAGAATAAAAGGTCAATGGACACCCTAGACTTAGTAATCCGGTCTCTTCACCTAAGTCAAGTGTCGAGATTCGAGTCAAACAAAAAAGGGAATGCCAAAGACACTTACCTAACACTTAGTAACCGGGTCTCTTCACCTAAGGCAAGTGTCGAGATTCGCTTTCAATGGTGGAAGGTAACAATAGAAATAAGTGCGCATATCAAGTTCAGGTGTAGAAATCCATTGTAAAAAATGATAAGAAGAATACCCATCTGATTTTAAAAATCAATCTCAGCTTATCGAGACAGTCTACACATGGAAGGGTAAATACGATTTTTAAGCCAAGTTTCTACGATACTCAAAGTAGGACAGTTTTACCCCTTGAGCCCAATACCGATCTATACAAAGTTTGAGAATTCCAGAATCAGGACACTTGGCTAATTTTGATAGGGATGATCTTGCAATGGGAAGGACCTCTATGCTCAGTGTAATTTTAAGGCTGCATTGCTAAGGGACTAGCAATGGTTAAGTTGAGGGGTGTGATAACTCTGCATTTTGATGCCTTAAGGGCATCGATTCAGGGGTATTTTTGGCCTTAAAGTAGTCAAATTGTGTCCTTTTCCCAGTTAATTTCAATGTTGTGACTTCTAAGGGTCTCTATGCAAATCCTATGCAAAACTGGGAAGTTTTAATGGCTAAAATGCAGCTTCTGGCAAGATGGAGTGAAGTCCAGCTGAGAGAGGGGGTATTTTTGTGAAAAACAGAGAACAGGAGGGGGCCTCCAAATTGCTAAACCCAGTTTGGCACCCCTCCTACTGTATTAGCATGCTCCCCGCGCCTTAGCAAACCCTAGGGCACCTTTTAACCCATTCTTTTCACTCTTAGCAAACCCTAGCCGCCCCTAGGTGTTTAATCTCCACCCTCCACCGCTTTTAATCTCAACCACTCATTCTAGGGCACTCTTTTTGCAGCTGTTAAACCCTAGGGTGCCACCTAACTATTAATCCTCACAATTCAGCCCCTCACCACTAAATCTTAGCCTCCACTCCATCTTATATCTCAGCCATCCACTCTAGGGCGCCACCCACTCTTCTAATCTCCACCTTTCAATCCTAGGTGCCTCAATCTCTCCTCCATTCATTTTTGGGTGCCCAAATCATAGCCCTCATAATATTGTGCACGCTTTCCTTCTACTCTCAGCCTTAGGATCACCCCAAAACCATCCTAACCCTCCATTAGAAACCCTAGGGCGCCCATAACTTTGCCAAAACCTAGCTGCCGCCCCCATCTTTCTCTCTAATCCCACTTGTGTCCACCCTTCTCTATAAAAAGGACCCAAGAGCTCTTGAGAAGGAGTTGGATTCTGCCCCCAGGTAAGATGGAAGTCTAATCTTGAGAAGTTCAAGGGTAGAGGAAGAAGAGGACACCCAGGCAAGAGGAGGCTTTCCTACTTGCAATTCACCAACACCATTACTGCCACCTCTAGAATCGGATCCCAACCACTTCTACTTTATTTTAGTTTTAATTTATGTTCTTTCATTTCCAGTTTCATTATTTACTTTCTACAATTTATTTTCATTCCATTTGATCTTCATTTTATTTTCTGCAGATCTGCAATTCGGCCAAGTAAGATGGAAAGCCTAGCTCAAGAAGTTTGAGGGTCAAAGGAGAGATCCAGAGACTGCTACCTTTGATCAGATTACACATTTTTATTTCATTTCTTTCATTTATTTATTTTTGTTTCTACACTTTTAACTTTTAATATTGTTCAAATTCTATATTTCCCTCAATTTAATTAATTTATTTTTATATTTCTACACTTCCCTCTTGTGTTCTCTTGTCCAGATTTGAGTATGTATTAATTTTTCCCTCACTTCCCTGTGGATACTACCCATTCTCACTCATTTACTACGTTAGTATTTGTTTAAGAATCGAAAAAAAATTTATAAATATTAAACTGGTGTTCTGATGTGGTTAAATACGCTTCGGATCATACCAACAACCCACTTTATCAGATATTCTGAGGTCTCGAGCTTGGTGAGGACGGCTCTAAGTGGTTGATTTGGTAGGATCGTTATGGTGTGGGCTTGAAAATATAGTCTGAGCTTCCTAGCTGAGACCACCAAGGTGAAGGCTAACTTTTCCACCACAGGATACCTAGTGTTGGCATCATAGAGGACCTTGCTAACGTAGTATATTGGCCTTTGCACTTTGTCTTCTTTGATGAGGACTAAGCTGACATCCTCATCCCCAATTGACAAGTACAGGTACAAGATATCTCCGAGGAGAGGACGAGTAAGGAGAGGAGGTGAGGCGAGGTATGTTTTTAGTTCGTTCAAGGCATGCTAACACTCTTCCATCCACTATAAGTCCTTTAGCTTTTTGATGGCTCGGAAGTAGTGTAGGCATCTGTTGGATGACTTTGACATGAAGCGCTTGAGGGCGGCCACTAGGTCGGTCAGTCTTTGTAAGTCCTTCACTGACTGAGGTGGTGCCATATCTAGTATGGCCTGGATCTTTTCAGGGTTGGCCTCTATGCCTTGTTGAGTGACGAAGAAGCCCAAAATTTGCCCGAGGTGATGCCAAAGGCACACTTGTTGGGGTTAAGCTCCATGTTGTACCTCCACAAAGTGAAGGTCTCGACTAGGTCCGAGGTGTGCACTTCGACTTTCAGGCTCTTCACCACCATATCATCCATGTCAGCTTCGACATTCCTCCCCACCTGATTCTTGAAGACTTTGTTGACAAGGCACTGATAGGTTGCTTTGGCATTCTTAAGGCCAAAGGGCATGACCTTGTAATAGTAGGTGTCATGCTCAGTGATGAACGAGGTTTTCTCCTCATCTTCGGGGTGCATCTTGATCTGGTTGTATCCGGAGAAGGCATCCATGAAGTTGAGTAGCTCATACCCTACGATGGCATTGATGAGGTGGTCTATCCTTGGCAAAGGAAAACTGTCCTTTGGGCAGACTCGGTTTAGGTCTGTGAAAACAATACAGATTCGCCACTTCCCATTAGCTTTCTTTACCATAACTACATTTGATAACCAATTAGGGTAGTGTACCTCTCGGATGAAGCCGGCGTCGAGTAGTTTGTCAATTTCCTCTCCTATGGCCTTTCAATGCTCTGGTGCAAAGTTCCTCTTTCTTTGCCAAATTGGCCTAGAGCTCGGGTCAACGCTCAACTTGTGAGTAATGACCGAAGGGTCAATTCTGGGCATGTCAGTGGCAGACTAGGCAAAGGCGTTGGCATTAGTTTTGAGGAATCTTACCAGTTCGAATAGGCTCTCTAGGGGAAGGTTGGACCCAACATTGACAATTTTCTCAGGCTCGGCCTTGTCTCGGGGAACCGAGATGAGGTCCTCAGCCGGCTAGCCTTGGTTCGCTGTTTCCTCCCTGAGGTCAAGGCCCTCTAGTGGTAATGCTTCTTTGTTCTTACCCTTTAGTGTTGCTACATAGCATTGGTGAGTTGCTTGTTGGTCCTCCCAAACAACTCTGACACCATGCTCGGTAGGGAACTTGAGGGCGAGGTGGTAGGAAGAGATGACTGCCTTAAGTGCATGGAGGGTCCGCCTCTTGATGATGGTGTTTTAGGGGGAGCCGATCATCATGACTAGGAACTCTATCATCCTCGTGACTTGTCGAGGCTCTGTTCCTACCGTGACTGTTATGGTGATTCTTCCTTCTAACAAAACTACATTGCTAGAGAAGTCGATGAGTGGGACGCTGGTAGGCTGGAGGCACTCGGGCACCGACTTCATCTTCTCAAATGCCGCATAAAAGAGGATGTCGGCCGAGGAGCCACTATCTACCAAGATCCTCAACTTCATCTTCTCAACTCGGGCACCAACTACATTGCTAGATACTTGTTTTTAAAGGCAAGGGCTTCATTCTGCTTCGGCTTCTTCGGGGCTGGCCCTTGGATGTTCAACTACCTGGTGTAGGCCTTGCGGGCCGAGGTCGAGTCTCCACCTGAGCCCGAGCCTCCAACAATGACATCTATTGCAGCGACAAGCTATTGGCATTGCTGATGTTGCTACTGCTAGGAAGGCGAGGCCCTAGCCTCACCTCCGATGTACTACTTGAGGTGGCAATGGCAGATGAGGGGACTCTATCTCGTTCTTCAACTCATAGAAGTCCTCGGTGTCATGGTTGGAACCACAGTGGTACTTGCAGTACTTCTTCGGGTTACCCCTCTTGGGGTTCCTCTTGATCTTCTCAAGCCACTTCACGTACTCCTCCTTGCCGACCTACATCAAGATCTGGGTTCGAGTAGAGTTGAGTGGCGAATATTGATTGTAAGCTAGGGCCAAGGCTGGTGGTGGCTTCTTGTTGTCTTTGATGTTGTCATTGCTCTGCAGTGGTCTCTGTTCTTTCTCTTCTTCTCAGGGTCACCATGGTGGTGCTCAGCCACCCTTTCTTGGTTGTCATCGGTCGTGGCCTCCTCGGTCATGATGTACTTCTAAGCCTTCTTGAGGAATTCCACCTTGGAATTCGGTGGCGTCTTAGCTACCAAGCACTTTAAGGCTGAACTGGGGAGGAGACCGTTGATGGCGGCGTACATGGAGACCATCGGGTCGAGGTCTCAGACCTCGAGTTCTTCCTTCTCGAAGTGGTCGATGTAGGACCACAGACTCTCGCCCCCCTTCTACTTGATGGAGTGAGGTGGGAGGCCAGAGAACCATCGTCGAGTTGCCCCATTAAAGGTTGCCTGGAAAGTCTGGCACGTCAACACGTCGAAGCCTTGAAAATTTCTAGGTGATCTTTGGGGTCCATCATCCCATCGTACATTTCTAGCACGGAAGCCTTGAAATGTGGGGGAAAGGGCTCAGAGATGATATCCGAGGTGAATGTGTCCATCATTCCTATCGGATGGCTCTAGGTGGCCGAGGTGTTGTCTCGACTCTCCTTGACTTGACGGAGTTCATCCTCGATGGCCCCGAGTTGGGTTTCCTGGTCCACAATCTGAGGGTCGAGGGGGACCTGTGCCCTGTCCCTATATTCATGGATTCATCCCAGGAGGCCTCTCTTCTTTGGTGGCAGTGGTGCTATTCGGAGCTCTGGTGGTAGTCTCTGGACTGTGTTGATTCTTCTCCCCTTTGGCTGGGAGGTCTTGCATTCCGAGGTGGCTGGCTTGCACATTGGCTACTACTGGATTCAGATGGATCCACTTGGTGGGTGTTGGTAGAGCTGAGGACTAGCAAGTCCGCAGACTCGCACTGCCCCTAGTGACCCGACGCCTTGGTGGGGTGGCCACCCAGAGGGCAGCCTCCTAGCTAGGGACACACCTCCTCGACATGCCAAGCGAGGTGGTCCAAATGGTCGAGGACCGCATGGAGTTGTTCGTTGGTGACCAAGTTCTGGGTATTCTTAGTGTTTCATACCATGTTGATTAGAGCTTAGGGGTGTTCTTGATTCTAAGTTTGATTGAAGGAAGTCTTAGTGACTATCCCACAGACGATGCCAATTGTTGATGCTTGGGTTGGCTAAGATCAACACTGTCAATCCACTCCTAAGCCCGAGTGGATCCGAGGTGCTTGATGTCTGAGGAGCGGAGTTCGAGAATCGGTGTGACCGAGGAGCAGAGTCCAAGGTGGGGGAGATCCGAGGTCTGAGGCCCGGGGTCTGGGGTCTGTGGTGTCAGGTATTCGTGATGAGCGAGGATCGTGGAGTCGGTTCTACAAGGATGATATCCGAGCCCTTGGGTGAAGACCCGAGGTGAGGACTCTAGTGGTCAAGTTAGTAGTGGCACAAGGTGGATGAGGTCTGAGGTGTGAGCAACCAGATGAGGTCACAAGAGAGCAGAAGGTCTCAAGAGCAGGCAAGAGAGTTTGAGTATTCGATCCTTTACCTTGAGGGGGTTGCCTCCTGTTTATACTTGAACTCACTTGGAGGTAGGTGGGCTCGGATGGCGGGGATTGAGTTTGTGCACGGGGTGCATGGCCACCCCTGTGCCAGTAGTTCCGCACTTTGCGCTGAGCTGGGTAGCGCATGCTAGCTTATTGGTTCAACCCTGACGTGCGCTGCCTGAAACATGTGAGTCTTGTAATTGGTCTGGGCCATCTCCGCCTACATCAATAGGGATTACACTCTCTCTGATGGAAACCTAAACTGCCGGCAGTGTAATTTAATTGTGTTTGAGATTTGGTTTTGAATATTTATATGATATATATATATATATATTAATGTTTTATGAAAAATATTTGCAAAAAGGTTTTAATTCTCAGGATCCATCTGAGTAGAAAGTGTGATACTACACCTTGTAGCCAGGGGAGAGGTCCTTCCTTGTCGGGCAGTGTTTGATCATTATGGGCTGACAGGTTAAGTGTAAGAGACCTTTAGAGGGATGATTACCTAATAGGCTTTATCTTACTTAAATCCATCATCCTTGAGTCTTCATAGGATGACTGAATTCAAGGATCATTTAGGTGTAAATGTTGAGCCCATAGTAATGTGCTCAGGGGTTTACCGTGTTTAGTAGTTAGTAGTGAATTTGACTAAGCATTTTCATAGAGGCTGGGCCGAACCCATGTGGACTTTGAAGTAAATTAGGCCTAACTTGACAATGCAACATCTTGGGTTCGTGAGCCTTTGAAGTAAATTGGCCTAAGGCCCATAATTAATAAGATTAAATAAGTTATCAAATGATAACATGTTGGGTTCCTGCTCTCTTACACTTAACATGACAACTTAAGTTGTCATGTGCTCTGGGTCAAATCTGGGTTTGGAAATGGGTATGGAGCACCCGTTCTCTTAAGAGGATAAGGCTTATCTCTTAATAGACTTGAACACCGCTCTTTCTTGTTCACTCTTCTTCTTTTTTGTCTTCTAAGAAACCCTATCATGATTTAGGCTTTCAAACACTGATAGAGATAGATTTTCTTCTAATTTTTGCAAGAAAAATTTAGAGGAATTTCAGGCTCACATTCCCTAGTGTGATCCAAGTAGTTGGGTTGCAGTTTTGTTGAAATCTTTTTTGCTAAATCAGCTTCACCAATACATTGCACCATTTTCAGTTGAGGCTGGTTTTATGACTGATTTGGCCATGAACTTCTACCTTAGGATCTATGCTTGTGGTATCCTCATCAGGTATAAATTTGCCTCTTTATTTGGAATCAAATCTGGTCTGGTTCAGTACAAGATTGATTAAAAAAAAATGTAGTTTTTCAAAACATAAGGAATTCAATTACTAGAAGGATAGGAAAATTTTTGAAAATTTTCCAAACCATATAGCATGGTTTGCCCATCCATATGATGGCTCTTAACCCTTCCAACATTAATTTTGAAGGGATGGGAGATCCATCATATGGATGGCCGAACCTTGTAGGAAGGTTGGGCGAAATTTTAAACATTTCTTTACTCCCATCTGGGAATCGTATTCCCAATTTAGAAAATTACATTTTCAAGGTTCGTTCTTGAAACCAAAACGGACCAAATCTGAAACCAAAATTAGGGAGAGGTATACCTCATACGGGATCCATGCAAAAAGCTTCTCCCAATGCAGGTGTTCACGCCCAAATAGTGTACCAATATCAAGATCAAATCTTGATCAGTTCTAAGAAATGGAGATCGAACAAGGTAGGGCGGCAATGTTAGACAGTTATGCCCTTACCTCCAATAAATTGATGTATCTTTTGACAATTATAGTAAATGAATAAAGTACATAATTGATTCATGTCATTATGGTATGTTTCTGTATAATAACCTTAAACTGGACACTTATTAGCCTCGTGTTAGTTTATAATCTTCACAACCATTGGATATATTTAGGGAGATTTATTCTGCCAAGCCTGACACTGATGTCCTACCAAGTTGGTTGGTGATGAGAATGCAAAACATCATATTTTTTCCCTTTAATGTTTAGTCTTTTATACTTATTTAGTGCCTAAATGGACTCATTATTCTTATATTTTGATTTATGGCACAAATGGAGGCGTTAAGTGAAAAACGGAGCTAATTGGGCAATTCTGGACCGTTTCGGCATCACTTTGTAATCTGGGCATAACTCTCGCATCCGAGCTCCGATTGAGAT